AAAAACTACCAGAAAATTCTTTCTTCGGCCACATAGGACGTCTGTCCTTCCCCCTTTATCAAGAACCATTGTTTCTTGTTCCCATGCCCCTCCCCGCAAGTTACAGACCCCCGGTTTTCGGCCACTCTTCAGATTTCACAGTCTGCGATGTGCCCATCTTCCTGGTCACACTCCAGGAAGATGGAGTCCTCCGTCAAGTGCCCAGGACGGGCTGTCCTGTTTCATGAGTCACCTGGGGCTGTCCTTGTGATGCTAAAGAACTGGGGAATCTCTCTCCCAGCATCTGCCATCAGTGTTCCAGCCCTGGGTGGCGAGCTTCCCCTCTCCCATCAGCCCGCCCTTCAGATACACTGCGGTTTCCTAGCGGTGTGACCGTAAGCAAATCACTTCCCTGTGTGGCCTCAGTTTCTTCGTTTGTAGAACAAAGGGTCTGGGTCACTCAGCAGGAACAAAGCCAAGTCACCTGTGTAACTTGAACTCTTCTCATTGTCCCACGTTCAAAAAGTGAAAAAAGAAACAACTGAGATTCATAGTAATAGTTTGCAGTTGACTCTTGAACGATGCAGGGGGTAAGGGTGCCGACCCCTCAAAGCAGCAAAAAAATCCGCATATAACTTTTGGGTTCCCCAGAACTTAACTGCTAATCGCCTACTGTTGACCAGAAACCTTACCATTACATAAACAGTCCATTAACACATATTGTGCATGTCGTGTGTATTATAGACTGTGTCCTTAACAATAAAGTCACCTAGAGAAAAGAAAATGTTATTAAGAAGATCGTAAGGAAGAGAAAAATACATTCACAGTGCTGGACTGTATTCATTTTTTAACATCCGCCTGTAAGTGGACCCATGCAGCCCAAACCTGTGTTGTTCAAGAGTCAACCGTATTTCATTTAACTCAGTGTCTCTAAAATATTAACGTGTAACCAGTGCGACATTCTTGAGGATACAGTTTACATTATTCTTTTTCTGCCTACATTTTCGAAGCCCAGTGCGAGCGGTACATTCACAGCACATCTCAGTTCGTGGGAGCCACATTTCAAGCGCCCAGGAGCCACATGTGGCTGGTAACTGCCATATCGAACGTTACTTGGGTTCTGCAAATCTAGGTCTCTGTGATTCTATGGAATAGTCTGGCAAGCGACATCTTAAGAGGTGCATGCGTTTATCTGGGGCTTGCCTTGGAATAGCAGAGGGAGGGGCCTGAGAGCCCTGGGATGGGAATAGTGCCCAGGTTTCTCCAGTAGCTGCTACATGGCAGGCCCTTCACGTATACGGACTTATTGGCCCCCAAAACAACTCTGCAGGGAGGTGGCCTGTCTTCATACCACAGGTGGCGAACCTGAGGTTGACTCTACTGTATTAAAGGCTCCGTACTTGGTGAAGACACAAGTAGGGCCCATGCCTGCCTGGCCCCCAACCCCTTCAAGCTGGGTGGGGGGGCCACAGAAGAGCCTCCTCTTCTTAGATGGGCTCCTCTGGACATGCTCTGAGCTTTGAGGCTGTGAGGAGAGCGTTGGGTTGTACTGAGCCAATACTCACTACAATAACCGTGGTTGAAATGAACCCTCCCCTGCCCCGGGGCTAAAGGACCAAGTGGGCTCTGAGACTTATCCAGGATCTCCCGAGGCCCTCTTTTCTCTAGTTGCCCCCATGTCTGTCTCTTTAAACAAACATGATTGGGAAGACTCCCTGGGGTGGGACTGGCATGTATGGATGCACAGGTTGTGCACTGCTCAAAGGTGCAGGGCCTAAGGGGCAAGTGGAGCCTGAAGCCCAGGTCTTTTCCCACTGGCCAGACTACGGTTCTTGGCACTGGGTTGCATCCAGCCAGAGGGGTGCCTTTATAATCCCCACACATGCCCTGGACAGGCTAGGGCAGCCCTGCCTGGAGAACAAAACAGAGATGTGCTACAAGTTTCTTGATCTGGTGCGGAGCTTTGACGTGCTCCTACCAGAAGGAGATTCTTCTTTTCCTCCAACTTCCTCAAACCTCTTCTTCTCCAGGAAGGCCTCAGGGCTTGGCCCACTCAGGGGTCCCCGGCCCCTGTCTCTGGCCATTCACCGTGGGGCGAGCAGAGGTAGCCCATGTGCCCCTGCCCCCACACCCCTGCATTTCAATCCTTCAGAAAAAAAAAAAAATGGAGGCATCTGCAATGCAAGGCCTGACTTGTTGATGTAAAATCTCACTCTATATTCTACCCAGGTTTATACGAGTGAATTATGCAAATCTTTGATGGAAAATATTCCTCCACACATCCTTGAGAGTGTAAAACCTTAGTCAATAATTCATACACGGATGTCTCTGACTGCAGGCTTTTTCTTCATTATAACTTGCACCTCGTTATTTGTCTTTCGCGTTTTATTGTATATCCTGGTGTAATGCTGTGCATTATAAAATTTATCTGCTTCGTTATTTGATGAGCTAGGGCTGGGGATTGTGCTCGGAGGCTGGTGCAGGGGCCAGGGGCCAGGGCTGGCTTCAGTGTCAAGTCCCGTAAGACAGAAGGCGGAGAAGGTGGCTGGCTGCATCGTGTGACTTCTGGGACACCAGACACTGCCCTTCATCCCCCACACCTGTTTCAAATGTCTCCTCACCCACCGACTGGTGTCTCAGGGCACATCATCGTTAGGGCTGCATGGCATCCTTTGTCCTTAGAAGTCAGGTGACCCTGGAGAGTTGCTGGGAAGAACTTTGAGTAGGTCTGTAATATTGGAGGGTATTGCAGGAAGAGGGGCGCCTGGGTGGCTCAGTCAGTTAAGCGTCTGACTTCAGCTCAGGTCATGGTCACGCGGTTCACGGGATCGCACTGTGCTGACAGCTCGGAACCTGGAGCCTGCTTCAGATTCTGTGTCCCCCTCCCCCCGCCCCTCCCCAGCTCGCTCTCTCACTCTCTCTCGCTCTCTCCATTTAAAAAGATTAAAACTGGAGGACAGAAAGGTCCTGAGGACACTGGGAGGGAAAGAAAAGATCAGCCACTGACATGGAGCAGGGACCCGGTGCCCCAGAGGGCAGCTGGGGGGTGTTTGGACAGAGACTGGGAGCCGTCTTGCACGGTTGCCCAGGCAGGCCATTGATGGGGTATGATGATGAGCTGGGTCTCTGCTCTGCAGAATTCAGTGTGGGGAGGGGTCCTCTTCCCACCAAGGGTGGGGGTGGGAAGGTGGAGTGATGTCTGATTCTCACTGTCAACCACTGCCAGCCCAGTCTGTGGGCTCCAGAGTGGCTAATGGTCTAACGGGCATCCCGCAGACGAGAGCCACTGCGTCCTGTACTCAGACAGGCAGATTTTCCCAGGAAGGGGGTGAGGAGAAGGCAAGGGCAAGGACAGTCTTGCAGGTGCATCACACCACTTTGCTTCCTGGGGTCTGCCCTACGTACGGCTGTCTCTGCTCTAGCAGGCCCCATGGCCTGGGGTGCCCATCTAAGTCCCGCTGTGTCCCGTATGCATTTCCCCAGCATAGAACTTGCCATCCTGTGCCAGGATTGCTAGTCTTGTCTGTGCTCACCGCTACCATGAAACTCCTTGAGATCTGGTTTGTCCTGTTCCCTGTTGGAACCCAGTACAAAGCCCGGCACATAACAGGTGCTCAATAAATGCTCGTTGAATGGATGGATGGCGCCTCCCCAGATACCCTCAATCAAAGGTAATTTCTCCTAATACCTCTGTGCGACACTGCTCAGATCCTCCACATTTTCATGGGGTTCCTGCAGGTGTCTGTCCCCCTCCCCTCTCCCCCTCCTTCCAAGAGGCGAGGACCCTGTCTCACAGCGTGCATGTCCCCCAGGCCTGCCACGGTGCCACGTAATGGCATGGACGCTCAATGCGTATTTGTTGACTTGGAGGGAGGAGAGTGGGGACAGGATTTCCCTGGCAGCCGAGACCATCCTTCCCTCTGCCCGGCCCCTCCCCCTGCTGCTAGCCAAGGTGCTCAGGCCCAGAAGAGGGTCAAGATCTAGACGCTTCTTTTCAGGGCACTGGGAGTGGCCTCCTGATGGCCAGCTGGGGCCTTGGTTGTTTCATGGTGATTTTCTCAGCTCAGCGGGGAGGTGGGGAGAAACCCGTTAAAGCTGCTTGAGGGAACCTTAATAATGGCAATGCTCTGCAGGGTTTTCTGTTGCATTTTGTTTGGATGAACAGGGGAGCTTCTCAGCTGTTCGAGAGGAGTAAACCAGCTGAGCCTGAGCCTTGGAGAGAGCCTGAGCCATGGACACAAAGCAAAGGCCCCAGTACGTTAGAGTAGGGTTCATAACTAACCTAGGGTCCAGAGACCACCCCCCCACCCCCCTCAGAAAGTCCATGGATCTGATCCAAGGGGTCTATGAATTTGCATAGGAGAAGAGAGCCCATCTTTTTTCCCACCAACTTAGAGCTGACATGTAGTATTTCCTTCCATGTTGAATATAAGCAACAAACCACAGCAGAAGCAGCACCCGAGGCCCCCACCAGCAGAAATCTACAGATGCTTTCGTACCACACTTCTCGCATTTATGCTTATCGCCGTTACAGAATCGTGCTAATGTAACTCAGCACTAGACAGCATTTGATAAAGGGTAATAAAAAAAACACATATTGATATGTGATATACTATGTGAAAAGTTTGCCTTTGAAGGTTTTTAATATTTGTATAGCCATACTTCAATATATCTGGTTTCCTTTGTAGTTCTGTATATATTGTGCGTTTTAAAACATGCTGAAAAGGTGTCCGCGGAATATAAGAATCCCTGGTGAAGAGACAGGCCACTCCAGTCACGGGTGGGGAGGCGGAAAAGGAAGATAGGCAAGTGGGGTTTCTGACAGCCCCCCACAACTTTTGATAGACCCCGTCCCTGGGGCTAAGGCGCTCTGCAGGGGAGGGGTAGTGGGGGCGGGGCCTCTGCGCAAGGCACACGCCCCTCCCCCAGGCTGGCCGCCCCCCCCCCCC